ACAATAAATAGATTTAAAAATCAAATAATACTTTCAGAAAAATAGGTTACTGATACAAAATTTAGCTGAATGTTTGAAGTTTTCTTTGCTTAACTTGTTACTTGTAATGTTATTATTTTTCCTGGAACAAAAATGATTTACAAGAGCATTTGTAGAGCTCCAGACAAACATTTTTTGTATTTTTTCTATATTGTGACCCTCATCACAAGTGTCAACATCAAAAGAAGCTCATAATCTGCCTAAACATTCAATGTTATATGAATGGCTATTTTTCTTTGATTTACTGAATGAAGAAAAGAATGATTCTTTATCAGCTTATCAATGACTACATAATTATACAGAACGAAATTTATAGTTTTATCATTAGGATATAAGAGAGAACCTCTTTTAATCTCCTGAAAATAGCTGCTTATTTCAGGTATTTCTTCCACATTATCTCTTACACTTCCAGATATTAAATCTTTGCAACTATTGCATTTAATGTTCTTAAAAACTGCATTACAGGAATAACCTGCTAAGTATAGCATTACAGGTAGAAATTCTCTACAATTATTAACATCATCCTCTTTAGCATCAATTCTATATATACATATCTAACTTTTCCTCCTCTGTCACTTCATCCCAGTTTGGTTCTTGTAAACTCTTTAAATCAATTTTAATGTACTGCTAATTGAATGGTAAGTTCAATTTTAAAACTGATTGCATTCTAATTTTTTTCACACTCAAATTCTTGCCGTATCGAGATATTATACTGATCCCTACTAAGTTGCCGGTATTGTACAAACCTTGCTTCAAGGTGACCAGTTTGAAATTCGCCTGGTAATATGTATAGCATTTTCAGTTCTTCTTTGCAATACTTGGTCAGTTCTAGAAATGCATATGTTGTATGATGCAAAGCAGTGAAGGTTTCCTTTGTTAATTTGCCATTTCTTCCAGAAATGCTATTCGAAGATTATAACCAGTCACAGAATACAGAGAGAAATCTAAAATTTTCTTCATTCATTCTAAGTGGATTGCAGTGTTTATTTCTAAGCCGACAACCTTTATATGACGTTTTAACATTCATTATTGTCCATCAAATATAAAATATGTTTATATATTCTGCAACTTCTGCAAAATTAGGCAAATATTTCTGTTTTCCTAAGATCAATAATCCTTGAATAGTGTATTCATTAAAAATTTGCAGAACTAAATTAACATTTTGCCTTTCAAGATTAGTAGGAGAAAGTGCCTTTGAGGTCAATTTATAACAATATTTCAAAATTGACTGAGATTCTAAGGCATGAAGTTTCTGTAAGGTAGAAAATGGAGTACGTTGGATACTATCTAATTCATGATTTCCATTATGACAAAATTTGGCGAACAGCATGCATTTATTTGCATCTTTTTGACCAAGCCAATTGTTTCTAATGTATTTTAATATATGGATTGAGTCGAAAAGGAAGAAAAGGTGTCGAGACTTTATAACTGGAGGTGGATATACAATGGAAAGCTTTGGTTGACTGCAAAGAAAGATATAGCTTTTTTTATTTATAGCATTTTTATCTGTTATGATTGATAATACTTGAAAGCCTATCTCCTCTAAACCAATTATTATGCGTTTAACTATGTCAAATAACTTCTCAGCTTTAAGACATTTATTTTGCATAACATGCACAACATCTTTATATTGTGAGAATACACTGCTAATCATGAAAGCAAAAGCACTTGTTGCAGTTTCACTGCAGTTGTCAGATAAGCCAACAATATTGCCACCCTTATAATCTAAATAAGGTTTTAGATGAATTTCATCAACAAATGAAGATACTGTGATGTTCTTCTGCACTAGGAGCTTAAATTTATTTTAATATACGTACGAAAATTGTGATAATGTTGCTCAATCAAAGGATTCATATATGTTGATAAGGTTAGTCTTTTAATGGTTGAATAACTATGTAAAATTATATTTTTGCTGTCTCTTAACAATCTGTACCCTTTAGGGGAGCAGTTATATAACAATGAAGAAAATATCATCATTTCTGTTGAATAATCAAGCTTATTTTGTGTTATTAAATTTAGCTGCACATATATAAACTTGATTGCATTAAAATGTTTATTTGATTCTTCTTGCACCAATAGTAGACATGACATTACTAATTTTAATATAAAAATCATATTTTGAGGTTCACTTTGCTGTTGTTCTGTGTCCATGTCAAAATTTCAAGAGTATTTTGATCAGTTACATGTTTAAGAATCTTATAGTCCCCTATTGAATGCATTTCCATATCTCTACAAAACATATGTACTGCAAAATCAGATTCAATTACAAGAGACAGATTTTTGGATATGGGGATTTGATGATGCTGAATATAATAAGTGTCTCTTGCTGCCTAACAAAACTCCAGTAATTTCTATCAAGGAAATTTAATTTCCCTTCTAGATCATTAATAATATGGAATTTCTTCTACATTTTATATGCTAAGTCATCATTAATACATTGATTTAAAGCACTTTTAAGAGGAGAATTCTATAGTCGGATTCTCCTGAAATCTGGTGACTCTAGAAGTATTCAATGAAGATAAATATGAGGGACAGTTTGGGAAAATTCTAGGAATAGCACCATTACGAAGATATATTTTTTTAGATTAACTGCAATTGTGGCACCTGTTTTTTCGTCAAAAGCTGACGATTCTCTCCTTATGTCCTCCGGTCGAAAATGTAGTTCACATCCCTAAAAAGATTTTAAACCTAAACCTATTTTAAATTCTTGTGAAAATCTAAGAAAATCAACCAGCAAAGATCTACAATAATATGAAGCATAAACAAGTTTAGGAAAAGTAGAGAGAATTCAACAAAAGATTATTAATGACGAAGCTATGTACAAATAAGAGAATTTTTAACGTTTAATCATTTTTTTTTAATTTAAAATTATAAATAAAAAACATTCTTATGGATAAACAATTCTAAAAAATTGTTAAATTATTAGAATTATTTTTTATGCCTATAAAATGATTCATTTATGAATTTATATCGAAAATTTCTTTAAAGTTTATTTTTATAAAAATTAGATTTCAGCTTTTAAAAACTTTCGCAACTTTCTTTTTAATGTGTTTTGTGAATTATAAAGATATGAAATTATTTTAATCCTCAAAGTTTTAATTGAGTTTAATAACTTTTTAAAACAACACTTTGTTTTAAAATATGTTGTGAATTACAGACATGAAATTAATTCAATTAAAGTTTCATTTAGTCACGAATAAAACAATTCTAAAAAAATAGTTAAAATTATTAGAATTATTTTTTATGTATATAACATATTCTTTTAGGAATTCATGAATGACTTTATGTGTAAAATTTCTTTAAAGTTTTTTTTTTTTTTAGAAAATGAGCTTTTAGTTTTTAAAAACAACACGTACGAGAACTTAACTTTGTTATGAATTGCAAAGACATGGTATTATTAATTTTATCATTAAAGTTTCAATAAAATTTACTTATTTTTTAATATAAAAAAATACTCACTCTACTGAATTTAGTAGGTGAAAAATGATCTCTTCTGATTGTACGAATCCAAACATCAGATAATTCTTTATCTTTAGGGAAAGAAAATACATGTACTTTAGGACAGTTTTTATAATTCCCTTCGCAATTTGGTACAACGTATCTATAAGGCATTGTTCTTTGTTTGTTTTTTTCCTTTAAATTAATTCAATATTTAAAAGAAAATATTAATAAATAATTTAAAAACATCGCCGTAAAAAATCTGATACGCAAAACAAACGACACGCTTCTTGAAAGTCGGACTCAATATGATGACGTCACATCCCCCCCCCAATGAAACAGGCCTTCTCTATCGATGGCTACGGGACAACAGTCCGACAATACAATATAATTACAATTTCTCAGAAATAGAGAAAGATATTTAAATGTCTGGGAAGTGTTTTAACAGAGGACGGAAAGCGGAGCACTTAAATCCAAAAGATAAGCAATGTATTACAAAAAAGAAAAAAAATCCGTTAGAAACAAAGAAAAGAATAATGACGTATTGTAGGGCGTCTTGTGTATGACGATAAGCTACATCCGCGTCCTGGGTAAAACGATAAGCTACATCCGCGTCCTGGGTAAAACGATAAACTACATCCGCGTCCAGGGTAAGACGATAATACATCCAACGGCAAGGCCTCTGATCAGGAGGTTTTAAGAGGCGTGGAACCACCTCTTAATTGCTGGTGTTCCCAGGTCCACACTGACCCGGGGTAGTAGCACCTCTTAGGGTCCCAGTCAAATAGCTGACCCGCAAACTGGCGTCAAAAGTATGAAAGTGCAAAAATAGGTTTTAATACTAGCAATACATTTTAATAAAAGTCGGCATTAAATAACCCATTGAGGCTGATATGCCGTAAAACAAAATAAACGAAACCAAACTAAACCATATTCTATTCTTACGAACCTATCCTAAAAATATTGTCGGCATTAAATAACCCATTGAGGCTGATATGCTGTAAAACAAAATAAACGAAACCAAACTAAATCAAATAATATATATTCTATTCATACTAATTTATCCTAAAAATCTTGTCGGCATTAAATAACCCATTGAGGTGTTGATATGCCATAAAACAAAATAAACGAAACCAATCTAAACCAAAGAATACATATTATATTGATACCAAACTATCCTAAAAATCTTGTCGGCATTAAATAACCCATTGAAGTTGATATACCGTAAAACAAACCAAACCAAACTTGAAGTGTTAGATAATATCAGTCTTCCTTTATATCAATGAACCATTTACAGTTTATTTAAAGTTAGAGAATATTTGTACATTGTATTTTTTGGTGGAGCGTGGATAATAATGGTTTAGTGTTTAGTGATGCAAATCTTACTAATTAACCCATAGCTTGGAGGAGAATATCTGGATTCATACCTTTCCCAGGGGTATTAGCGCGTCAATGAATATAACGAACCCAACCGAAATTGGAATTCGGCTTTCTGATTTCTAGTTCCGAGCAATTACCCAAGCTTACAGCTTACGTATATTCCCAGTCACCTATCTAGGTACTGCGCAGACTCGATATTGCTTAACTTCAGTGATCGAACGGGAACTAGTGTTTCAATGTAATGTGGCCGTAAGCCTCCATTTAATTGTAAAGAAATCCCCTGACACAAATACGATCATCGTAGCCTATTTTCATTCCATTATTATTGGGTATTACATCTCCCCCATGTTAAGAATCTCCCGAGTAATCTAAACATTGTCAATCAAAGATAAATGATGAATCTGTTAGAATAACCTGAATTATCTTAAGGACTTACTCGATATAAAAAATAGCGCGTTGTATGTCAGTGGGTAGCAAATGTGATAAAAGCATTGAGGCGGCTGTAATATGGATCAAGAGGGCAAAAAGGAATCAATGCTAAAGATAGACATGGTGTTAAGTGGACGCTTAAAGACGAAATAGAACTGCTTTTTTTCTCGTTTTTATCCTACATTGACAGAATAGATGAATGAAATCTGTTGATTTTAGCTATAATTGGATATTTATGAAGTATCAATCATACAAGCCCTATTATTTTACCATTGAAGATTGAAAAGACAGGTCAGGGATACACTGGCTTTTAGATTAGAATCAAAGTTTTTCAGGTTTGTGCTTTCCAGCCAAAGTTAAATGTTATTTATTAAACGTATTTTGTTTAATCATTTCTTTGCGAGCAAGACAATAAAGCCACTAAGACGCAAGGGTATTAGAGAATATGAAAAAATAAAACACTATTAATGAGAGATAACAATTAAAGGAACAATTAATAAGACTGGATAAATATTGATATTGCATTTCAATTTTTGAAGGTCAAGGTTGACTGGGAAGCAAGTAACAAGAAGAGAATTCCACAAGGGAGAAGTGCGATAGAAGAAACTGTTAGCATAGAACTTACGGTTACATTTAACCATTTCAAGTGTAAAATGCTGACACCTTCTAGTACTGTGCTTAAATTCATAAAGATTAGATACCATAGAGGAAAGTTCATCAGAACAATTACCAAGAAAATATTTATGCAAAAGGCACAGTTTTATAGGTAAATAGTGGTAATGCTTACACGAGTCATTTTTTTAATCAATTCAAGTAAGGCAATAAAGCCACTTAGACGCAAAGGGTTACTGAGTGTTAGAGAATACGAGAAAAAAACTCTATTATGGCGAGAGAACAATAAAAAACAGTAACGAAGAAAACCGAATATACCGATAGACATTGGGCACTTTGATGTTGTATAATGGTTATCAATCTTGTCTCGCTAGATTAATACCGATTGAGTAGTGAGGCGAACCACACTAGATGCCCCATAATTTTGGATTTGTACCACATCTAAGCTGCGCTTAGAAAACAGTTGTACACCTCGACGTGGTGCAATGGTTAGCAAGGTTGTCTTGACTGAGTAGTGAGTACGATCCTCACTGGGGACTCCATACTTTCGGCCTTGTACCAGATCTAAGATACGCTTAGAAAATCGTTATAACTGACATTGCATATACATTTTTGAAGATAGAAGTTGACTGGGAAGCAAGAAGCCGGAAGAGAGTTCCACAAGCGAGTAGTGCGACAGAAGAAACTGTTAGCATAGAACTTAGGTTACATCTAAACATTTTAATTGTAAATGATGAAACCATGTCGCCAATTTAGTACTGCACTTAAATTCATAAAGTCTAGGTACCATAGAGAAAAGCTCATCAGAACAATTGTCATGAAAGTATTTATAGAAAAGACACAGTAAAGCTATGTTACGGCGGTTGGAAGGTGACTGAAGTCGAGATGCCAAGTCAGGATCAATAAATTTGAAGATTCTTCTATGGATATTATAAAGAATCTCTAAATATAATACAGAAGCACCAGACCAGCAATATTCAAAGCATGGACGAATGGTAGACTTATAAATATGTAAGATAGATTTTAGAGAGACAAAAAATTGTCTAGCACGACACAGTGAACCAACTTTTCTAGAAGCAGATCTAGAAATCGTTTCAATATATTCTTTCCATCTCATGTCAGCGAAAGACGTTATATATCAGGAATATGACAAGAAGGAAATGAGAGCCTGGGTCTATTTAATCTCTTCCTAGACTAGGCCCTGCGCATTTACAAACACAGATGTGATGAGATGGGCACTGACCATTTAAGTATTTTATGCCACATCCCAAACGAATCCACCAATAGAAGTCAACGGTCCTGCTTTCCCTCCCGAGGCCATGTACAGTTGGTGGGGTGGGGGGACTATACCGATGACATATGTATTCATAATTAGGATAAGAATGATTTTGAACAGAAATTCAGCATCATCTACCAAGTGTTCCAAGAAATAGGACTCAAGATAAACCTTTCCAAAAGAGAAACCATAGTCTGGAATTGTAATATATCAGTGATGGCACCTACAATGAATTCATCATAAAAATTCAAGATGTGGAATTAATAACATCAAACACTTCAAATAACCCAGTGTATGGATCAGTTATAACAAATTTAGAATAGGAGACAAGGGAATTGTTTATAGAATAGGCTGCGTTAGCGGTAGTTTCGCCCAATACCGCAAATTGCTACAAAACCAAAACGTTAACCTAAAAATTTGAGTCACGTTCTGAAATAGAAGATATAAAAAAAATAGTCAGATCGTGACTTTCATACACATGTCATGCATGGCTCCAAATCCGTTTATAAATATTAGTCCGCTGTATACAACCATCTTCAAAGCTCAATAGTTCAAATTGCTTTGAACGAGTGAAGCCTATGCGTCTTGGTAATGACCAGACTTCTTCGAACTTTATGGCCTGGTGCAAGAGAATCACAAACAAAGAAATGTGCCAAATGAGAACTTCAGTAGCAGCAACAGATAAAATGGATATAACACGTAACTCGAGAAAAAATAGTGACATAATCAAAATGTTGACATTCCACACCAGTTCAAATAAAAGATTAGGAATGAAACCCCCATCAGTACTGGAAAGGGCAAATAACAGCTACTGGATGAGAAAAAAATAGTTTTAAGAGAAAGATTTTATAAATTTCAACCGACAGTAGTAAGAGGCGCTCGGTCAATGAATGTCGAATGTTTCCTCATGCGGAAACGGTTAATATAACAATTACCATTACTATTAAATACATGATGTTGATTAAAACAATAATGCCATTATTGTTAAAGAAATAGAAGGAAAGAAGAAAGAAAAAGAAAAACTCATCAATAAAACATGCGATGGAAGAAAAAAGGAAATAAAATTACATAAAAGAAAGAAAGAAAGAAAGAAAGAAAGCAAAGAGTAAAATTAATAATGAAAAATCATGAAGAAAGAAAGAAGAAAAAATAAAATAAAAGATGGTATGAAAAAAAAAGAAATGAAATTACATAAAAGAGGGAAAGAAAGAATGATAAAAGGAAAGAGTAAAATTAATAATAAAAAGAAAGAAAGAATGAAAGAAAAAAAATAATTCATAAATAAAAAATGCCTTGAATGAAAAAATGTAAATAAAATACAAAAAATACAAAAAAATACGAACAAATGAAGAGTAAAATTAAGAAATATTAAAAGTCTTGAAAAAGAAACATTCATAAATAAAAAATACCATGAAATAAAATGGCATAAAGAAAGAAAGAAAGAAAAGCATGGAAAAAGAAAGAGAAAGAAAAATTCATAAATAAAAAAAATGCCAATAAAAGAACGAAACAAAAATGGCATAGTAAAATTAATAATAAAAATCATGAAGAAAGAAAGAAAGAAAAAAAGAAAAAGTAATAATAATAATGCTGTGACACTATTTAGCGGTTGCGTGGAAATTAAAAGCGAGAAATAATTAAGGCGAGAAGAAGCTATCACGAAAGACATACTGCGCGATGTTATTTTTTCTAACAAAGAAAAGTGGTAAAGATTTTATTTTCATTTGCGCAAAAAAAGTTTTTTTTTTCGCAGAAGATAGGAAATTCGTAAGATCTCGGATCTGTCAGAATTAATTTATGCTATGACGCGGCGAATAAAAGATAGCAATCTGCCCATGGCAATAACGGAAATTTCAAATTGGTCAAGTGGCCTACAAAACAGAATGCTGGAAGATAATCGTAATCAGGTCGAAGATGCGACCGAGAAAAAAGATCAGCTGAGGCCACCCCAGAGAAAAAGAAAGGGAAGGGAGAGAAAGGGAAAGAATAAACCATTAACTATCTTTCGGAGATATCATTTGGTTTTGGAGAGACACCTGTTTTATATCCAGACCTGGACATGATAAAAGTTTGTCGCCGGGATAGATTGCTGGCGACAGGGTGCGAAGAACACCCATTTGACGCTTGGCGAAAATCTCGTTGATAAATTCCTGATGACATTCGGTTAAGATAGAGATTAAGGACCACACTACGAGTCGTAGGGGTCTGGTCGAGGAAAAAAAAAAAAAAAAAAAGAAGATAATTTTTTTTTCCTTTGAGCGATAATTTTAAACTGAGGCCAGACTAGCCACACCCACGCTGCCGATCATTCATTGGCTGAGTGGTGTCGTGAGCGGTAGGCGAAGGTAAACATATGAGAAGGAGGGGAGGCCTGCTGACGCCTCTGAGGGGATTGGTGTGAGATACCAATATGAGAAAGGAAGACAGAGTTGAGCTGTGAGCTCGCAGGCCAGCCTCGCAGGAAGCTGACTGAAAGATCCACGCATTCCGACTTAGACTTCTAACCAAAAACAATTTATTTTTGAAGAACGACTTAGACTCACACCACCAAAACAAGTTTTACGAATATCGCCTGAAGATACAAAATAAACAGTTATCGAAAAACAACTTAAGATATTAAGACTCGCCTAACAAACACACACAAAGTGTCACGAATCCATAGAAGCGGTTTGGGAGAAAGATGCAGTCCTGTATTCAGCAACCAGATATAAAAATATTTGTTATTCTTTTTTTAACACATTTGAACCTTTCGAGTTGTTACTTTATTTTCTTTTACATATACTTGTGCGATGTCACCTTTGCTCGAATTCGGCTTGCATTACGGCCCGGCGACTGATTGATTTCGTCTACCTAAGATCAAATCACAACGTGGGTAGGTTAGACTAGAAGTCGAAGCAGTTACTTCGATAACCAGACGTTGGAGGCGAGCTGGGAAC